ATGAAACTAAAACAAATTTGTACAAGAAATCTTCCAAATACAAACCAAACTGTATTTTATAGACTGGAAAAATCAATCAAATTCAGATAGAATAATAGCACGGTGTTAAATTAACACTAATTATAGTAAAACAATGGTAGTAAGTGTTGATGAATAACACTAAGTGTTAAGTGTTAAACACTGAGTATTTCTGATTGAACACCGAGAGAAGGCGGTGTATAACACATTTCGGTCCACGTCTCATAAACTATCCAGGATAACCAATATTTTAACAGAAAACAATGGTCTCTTTGAGAAATTTATGAGGATTTTAATTCATGATAATTAATACTAATTGTTATTGTCATAGAGTTCAGTGGTACTGCAAGAACAAGTAAGGAAACAATCAAATGAAATGGGATGTTAAGTTCTATACCGTGTTGTGCTTTATTATTCGTTTCGCAAAACATTAACAGACACAGGGCAACGCCCCCCCCCCCTTTCGAATGAATCGAATGCCCCCCCCCCTCTCCCCCGGAAAAAATAGCTGACCTATATCGTTGCTGTACCTAACCAGATTGAGATTCAAAATGCAGCAACTCTATGGAAGTGCATACACGCAAATCTCACATGGGACTGGAATCATAGAATTGATTTGCTGAATTCTGACACATTTTTTCGGGGGTACAATTGGGTGTACAAACCATATTTCTAGGGGGGGGGGGTCTTGAACAGAACATAGAGTATTTAACTAGTTTGGAAATTTGAATATGGTTGTTTAAAACTACTGGAGATTCCGAAAATAATAATTTTAAACGGCAATTTTAAAGATTAGAAATATTTCTTACTCTGTCAATTATTTTTTCTGATATCAATTGATTTACAAAACATTCTGTCTGCAACAGGTATTTTCGGAACATGATCTCTCACCTCTTTTTTATCAGTACATACGTGTTCCAAGACTCACGAACTTTGTTCAGATCAGTTAAACTTGATTAATCTAAATGATGAATATACCCATCAAAACAATTAAAAAATATTTAGTTAAGATTTGAACGACATTTATTTGTAATTTGTCTGAAAATAGGTAAGTTACAAATTTCTTTAAGTTCAATTTCGGTGCCGAGCGGCAAAGATCAAAGATATGATTTTTTGGTAACTTTAGTTGTGTTTCACAATTTTATTGGGGTGTTATTAAACGCTTCGGCTAATTTACCTGAAACTTAAAACGCCAATAATGTATCATAAATTTGTTAAACCGAACTTGTCAATAACCGATAACGACCAATCATCTGTGGTCATTGGCCAAAATGGGTGGAGTTATAAAGATGCATTTGACCAATCATTCGTCATGAAGTGGTCATGGATCATTACGCAACTCTTACAACCGACCTCACGTCCATTGCGCAAGTCAAGCGAAAAAACGTACAAAATGAAGAAAATTTGAAAATGAAATCAGAACTTTATGGTATCTTATCAAGGATTAGTTGATTTGTTGTGATTTTTACAATCAAATCTGTTTTCATGACAATTTAAGTGAATTTTGAGAGAATTTTCTACTCCATCCACCATCATGGATTCGTGTGTTTTAGTTCCGCGAGATTTTAGTTTAGTTTTAACTTTACATCCTGATCCTAGCAATATTCTAGAGATGTGTGTAGCTGTTTGGAGTAATTCTTATTTAAAACTTGGTCAATCATTTTATCCTGAAGATGGTGAAATTCATTATGAAAAACTCGAAATTTTCTCCACTTTGAAGTCAAATAATGTAAGTATATTCTGTTAGTCATACTTTTTTATATACATTAAACTAATATTTCTTGAATGTCAGGAATCCAATGGCAACTGAAAATAGCCAGTTAAAACTTTTTATTCAGAACTTAAGATTTTTATCTTAATTTTCCTCAAACAACTGGACACAATTATATGGATAACAATTAAGTTAATAAATAACTTGCCACGTTTCGACGAAAGTTCTTTCGTCTTTATCACGCACATCATTGCTTGATAAAGACGGAAGAATCTTCGTCGAAGGTCGCAAAATCGCAAAGTATTTTGTTAAAGTAATTGTTATCCAGTTGTTTATTGCTCAATCACTAAATGCCACTTCAGGAAGTTACCTCAGAAATTGCCAAACAATATAGAAACTAGAAAAGTATTTTTTGACATGAAAACAAATGATTGTTATGCCAGTGATATTGCAATAGTTTAACTGAGCTGTTATCTGGATTAAAGATCTCCACTTCTTGTCATACAATATTCAAACAGAGAATGTACAGAATCAGCAAGCATCCATCCTGTTTATATAACTTCCTTATAACGGTTGAAAAACTTGGCTTAGAAAGAAACTATAAAGATAGGGTAGAATATTTTATCTTCAATTATGAGACTAAAATATGCCTTTCCGTTCGTCCGATACATTCAATTAAATATTCCCGAGATATTCGTAAGGAAATTAGCAAAATATGATCAAATGTATGAAATTACGAGTTTTGGTCTCCTACGAACAATTCCCAGCATATTTGAACGGAAATTAGACCGAATAATGATCTGTAATATAGTTTAAACGTATTAAACGATTGTACATAACGTTATGAACTAGGGATATACGAAATACATTTTAAGATTCGTGACAAGTGTTTTATTACGCCATTATCTCTCTAACTACCTTCCTTACTCTCCTTTTCTACATCTTAATCAACTTTTTACTTTTATCAATGACACACTTCTCAATCTGACATCTCTATACAACCTTTTATAGACCCAGATTATTGTAATACGGATTACATTTAGGGAGGGGGTGCCCCGTTGCGGTGGGAGGTTTCCACGAATTTTTAAGAATTTAAATTTCCCTGTATTAGAATGTGTTCCCTAAAAAAGGAAATGCTGGGAACACACTTTTGAAATTGTTAGTCAGCTGAAATTTCATTTCAACATGAAAACTAAATCATTTTAACATAAAAACCTTATTTCTATTATGAAAAAAAAAGAACCAAAATTGAATTCGTTTAGAATACTGAAATAAAGTTGGCAAGTGACGGTAGAGACCCAGCTGAATTCGTTTAAACCTTGCAGGGCAATAGTTTTGAGCTGGTCCTGATTCAGTGTAAAACTAGGATGCCCATTTTGGATTAAAGAAATTGGATAAATTAGTTACATCACGTAACCAACTCAATAAAAGGAGATAGACGATAAGACACTTGAAGGAGATGTCAGTCCGAGATTGAAGAATAATAACATTACTAGCGATCTCCTGTAGTTACTATCTATATCCCATCTTGATTAATATTCTTATAATGAACTACTGTTAATACTGCCCCGTACCGTCAGCAAATATGGTTTGTATAGTATACATAACGCCACCTACCGTCAATAAGGTAAAGCAGTGACCCCCTACCAGCAATAAGCCACGGCATATGGCGGAAATAATGTTCTTGGGTATATATCGTAATCAAAATCCATTTATATTTACATATCTTTTAACTAATGTTACATCACTACAAAGGGCGCTACGGGGAGGGAGAAGTTAGTAATTCTGTCTTGTATTTCATGTCATTTAGAAGTTTACAGAAGGTCCACTATTGTTTTTATAACGTCTCCCTGTGGAGAATCATGCCACGTGATAAATGCGTCACTTTATTGGCATTTTTAGGTACAATATAGGTCTAAATGGGGCCATAATGAAATTAGGAAGCTTTCATTCGATCATTTGTAAATATATCACTCTTTGATTTGACATAATGTACATCATTAACAACAAATAGGTACTCGAGATTTCGATCTGCCAAAACAGGACAATGACCGTCTTGTGGTTTCATGTACTGATAATCCGACATGTAATGATGATAAGAAATCCTTCACAATACAACACCATCACTAAAAAAAAAAACTTTATTGTAGGATACCATCCTAAAACTACCTTGGGCACAACACAATTCTGTCAAAAAATAATTCTTGTCATGTATGAAAGGCACCAATACGATAATCCCACCCACCAACCCACAGACGAAATTCAAAAGCATAAAGGAATATCAATTTCAACCTCACAATTCTGAATTCTTTTCTTTCCAGATTCGTCGAAAGTTTGGTTGTTACGACGAGGTTTTGATGGTAGACGAACGTGAAGTCAGGCATTGTAACTGGATCCGGTTTGTAAAATCATCCAATAAACTAGAAGAAGTGAATATGGTGGGGATAAAAATTAAAGACGAAATTGTTTTTCAACTCGTCAAAGATGTTCGACCGAATGATGAAATTGTTGTTTATTTCCAAGATCTACCGGAAATGTCAGCAATCCAACCGGAAGCGGAAGCGGCTCAGCATCAGTTTGAGCAAGATGTCTACACAGATAAAGAAAATATTTCACCTGGTAAGAATTATCACTCTTTACTTTTTATTTTTATTCCCCTTTTCCAACCCCTTTCTCGAAACCTTCAAGAAGTCGAAATCGACAATAGGACAACGCAACAGAAATGAATTTTAGATCTGATGGATTTTGGATCATCCCAGTAATAACTTTAAAGTTTTCCTTCGTTTACCTCTTGTATTCGATATACTATGTTACTAACTCTAAACTGTATAATTTATTTCAGATTCCATGGAAACTTCATCTATCATATCATCTCCTTCACCTGTATCACGTGATGATGGTATTTCCTTAGTAACAGATATCGCTTCCGGTTCTGACGATTCTGGCCACCATTCGGTAAGGCTTTTCTATCCCCATTTAAAGAAATTCATCTGAGTTAATCTTGTCCGACGGCAGTTGGAGAAACTGATACCTCACTCGGATATTATAAAGCAGTTAATATGTGAAATAGTGGATTCACAGCCAGAGAAAAGCACAGGATACACCACAATCAAAGTCATATTGCATCAATGTCTAACAACTGAAGATGGTAATGCCTCAATTATTTATTATTTAGTTCTATTATCATAATAATGTAATTCCCTTCCAGGACATGAATCTATCTAAAACACCTTCTCCAACACCATTTACCATGACCCCAGAACATTCTATGATGTTACCTGTTAAACGAGCTCGAGAAAGAACATGGTTACCTTGTGAAATTTGCCAGAAGAAATTTGACAGACCATCTTTGTTAAAACGACACATGCGCACACACACTGGTAAGTGTACTACTAATACTTTTCAGAAATCCCATTTTCAGCATAATCAGATATAGTAGATAGACCAAATGATTAAGAATGTGTTATTAATTCCTTGTCGAATTGATTAGTATGCATCGGTGTTTAGATTTTCTTCTTTAATGCTATCACTTGAAAACCAGCTATGATTTTGTAGATTGATAATAGCGTTAATATATTTTTCTGAATCAATGTATTTAGTGTTGAAACCTTCTATTTATTATTCCAGGAGAGAAACCCCATGCCTGTGATGTTTGTGGTAAAGCTTTTTCAACTTCCAGTTCCTTAAACACTCATCGTCGTATCCATTCTGGAGAGAAACCACATCAATGCTCTGTTTGTGGTAAAAAATTTACTGCAAGTTCTAATTTATATTATCATCGTATGACCCATAAAAAGGTTCGTTTTTATTTTTTATTTACTTATTCGACATTAAATGCTCAGGCATAAAATGCTTAGTACCATAGCATTGTGCTCCCAGTCTTGTGTCTTAGTGGACATTATGTTCATAACATTTGTGTTATTTTGTCATGATGTTAATGTTGTTACCAATCATTGTAGTTTCAATTGTATTTAATATTAAATCTAAATCTTTCGTTTCTTTCTAGGAGAAGCCACATAAATGTACGATGTGTACCAAATCTTTCCCCACCCCTGGGGATTTAAAGAGTCACATGTATATACACAATGGATCGTGGCCATTTAAATGTGATATTTGTAATCGTGGTTTCAGTAAACAAACAAATTTAAAAAATCATATGTTACTTCATTCAGGTTAGTTGGTGTTTATTTTTCGAGGGAATTTGTTAAATGATTTTTTTTAAATAGAGAAGCGTTTGATGTGAATATCATTGCCAGCAAATATTACCCACCGTCCTGCAGCAGATCAAAACAAAATACATTATATATTTCAACAGAACACAATAATATGATATACACAACGTTTCAACAATTTGAATTGTCGCCATCAGGTGAACGAACCAGTTGATAGAAAATCTTTGAAACGTTGTGTGCAGTAAAGTCCAGTAGTAGTATATAAATAAAATATTAATGATGGAATTATATTATTTTTTTATATATTGTATCTCCAGTGATCTTTAATGATATGATATTTCTATTACAGGTGATAAACCACATCAATGTACAGTTTGTGAGAAAAGATTTGCTTTACAATGTAATTTAAAAACTCACATGAAAACACACGAAGGTAAGCTAAGTCTGATTTGTTTTGGGATTTTTGCATTTTGCATTATGACTATAGAGAGACCATTATAAACTGATCCAGTTATTTGATTTAAGATCGGTTCATACAGCTGAAATCTATTTGTGAATGTTTCACTAACGTTTTTTTGTTTGTTTCTATTTCAGAAGACACAAATCAAGCCTGTTCAAGATGTAACAAAATGGCGGCAACTAGTGATGGATTGTGTGTAAAATGTTGTGATGACGTCAGAGTAATGGCGGGAGATAGAGACCGGAAATCACCTTCAGATTTCAGTATTGCTAAATTAACAGAAAACCCCAACAAACGACAACGTCTGGATTCGGAATCTATTTATAGTAACGGATCTCCTTTTCAACCGTCCGCTAAGTCACAATTCCCGTATTTCTGCAGTACACCAATTGATACAAATTCAGTGAATTATACGTCATTTCCTCGTGTTCCATCTACGTCATCAGAACTCTACTCTAGTGTCGATCGTCAGTTCTACCCAACTCGAATGGTTCCCAGGAATTCTCCGTTTAATTACGGACCAGTTCCATCACTAGCAGGACCCTGGTCTAGTCCAATGATGCAGCGATATTAAGTGGAATGATTGTTACTTGTGTAATGTTACATTTAATAAGTAACAAGTCCAAATATCAATTCCAGATATGAAATCCAAGGACACGTTCTAAAATCGTTTCCCCTAGTCATAAAGAAAGTATACGTAAAATAAAAAAAAAATCCGTACAGACAAGACAAGTATGGTTAAATCGAAAGTAGAAGTTGGACCAAAGAGAAGTACCAGCAGGTGTTCGAAATGAGTAAGCCTGTTCTGCTCCGTGCGACGAAGATATGGCATCGTCAAACTCTGGGTTAAAAACTATAAGTTGACCAACTGCTGTACTCAGTCTATGATAACTCTGTAACGATGTTTTAGTAAATATTCGTGGGCAAGCGACTCTGACTAATTGTGCTATTATTTTTGTATTTTGTTTATTTTTTTTAATTTTGTTGTTTTAGTTTTTGAAATATTTTGTCTAACATAAATTACAGAGATAATATATACGTACTAACATCTTACTGATGTATTTTATTTTTTCTTTATTTATTTTGTTTTGTATTTTTTGATAAATAAATAAAATAACTTTTGTGAAAATGTTTTCGTCTTTAATGTAATATATATGCATAGTAAATGTAGAGATGCGGACAAAATACGTTTGCTTTTATTCCCCTTTTTCGTACAATATTAACTCGTTCTAAAAAATAATGGTGAGAGTTCATTTGGGATGACATAAAATGTCAAAAGCAAGTGTCAATAAAAGCCGAAAAGTCAATAATGGATCATTTAAGATTGCGCAGAATGACAAGCACAGATCAATTCCCGAGACTTGTGTAAGTGCCAACAGGGAGTTTACCTACAAGACGTCTTCAGAAAACATTTATTAAAACCCTTTCTATGTCTTCAACAACAGCATTTGATGACACATTCCACAAAACAAAGACTTTAAACGAAAAATAATCGAAAACACACCATATACAAATGCAACCTTTTCAAAAAATAATGAGGGGGTAGAGGCAGCTGAAAATTCTTCAAATTCCTCATTTTCTTGGATTCTTTTCGTGAGTTAATAATAATGGCGAAACGCTCGGTCGTCTGTTCTTGAACTCTAATTTAAGAAGTCAAGAGTTGTCACCTTGTGACGTAATATTACCAAGACAACCATCTGCCAATGACGACAATTTGTTTGAAAACGTGAAATTTGTGTTACAAGATTCAGCAAATTACAACTCACGTCAATGGCTCTATTGACTTCTAAGACATAAAAATGACAATGGCGTGAGGTCGGGCGTGTGGCTGGTCAGAATGGACACTGGTCAAATATAATGAGAGATCAACGATGTTTTTGTTGTTTAGGGTAAAGGTTGTGACAGCCGTGTCCATACACCCACAGGCAATATGGTTAAACACAGGGTCTCCTTCCGTCCCCTCCCCTCACTGAAAACCTCTATTACACAATCTCAGATTTAATAAAATCATTTAAAGCGTTTAATTTCCTTTTTCTCCGCCTTTTTTCATTTCTAAAGACACCTAATAGCTTTATACTGCTGCACTTGTGCAGTCATCTGAGTATTGAATCGGGTACTTGAACATGTATTAAATAAGTAATGAACAGACAGACTTCAAAGATGTCGACGTTCAAGTATCTCCTTTATATATGATTTCATATAATTCGCAACATTTCGTAACATACCCTTCTTATCTTTTTGTTTCCGAAAGATGGTCCATTCACCAACAAAATTATTTCCAGAACGCATGGTCCATAGGCCTACTTTATAGGTTTTCCAGAGATAGGAATTCTTCCTGTTTTTAAAAATGGGTGCCTTCCTCAGGTGTTTAAGTTCCGGGTTCAAATCTCAAATATCGGCATTGAAACATTATGATGCTATGGTCAATGTCTTATCTTTAGACCTAGCCTACATTTATATAAATAATTTTATCATTTTCGTTCATTATTCATCTTTTTATAATTATGCCAAAGTCATGGGTCTCTTGAAGTTTCTTTCTTATTTTTTTTTACTTTTGACAGAATAGGAGCAAACTTAAAAACTACCTTACTTGATATTTAAATAGTTTCCGGAGAACTGAATCTAAGTTTAAATATGTTTCAGAGCTGTAGTGGATCGCCTGGACTAGGATCTAACATTGTTTGGTGCAAAATCATGAGGTGGGGATCATTTTAATTTCTAATATTAGATCAAAGACAGGGCAATAATAGATTCTGAGATGTTTATGATTAAAATAAAGATAAACCCCGAAAATCTAAACACAGAGCCCTATAATCTTACAGATGGTGCTTAATCTGATATTATCATAGAATAACATCTTAATTTAACCCTTATCTCACCCAAAATATGTCCAGATCCTTTCCAATTGAGATCTCAAACTGAATGTCTATTCACAGCTCGCAACACTTCGTCCATTGTTACGTTTCGTTTGTATTGATGTTTTCTGACGTAATGTCTTTTATGTCACAATGACGTCATACACTAGCAGATGTGACGGAATGTTGTTCGTCTGTTCGTTTTTGTCGCCATCTTCAATTCGCTACAATCTTGAGGTATATCTGTCTTCTGTCTTGAAGGGGGTCATTATTTTAGGACATGCTGATTAAGTAATTTTAAAGTCACCCCAATTTTTTTTAAAGAAGTGTCACCATCTGACTAAAGACTGTTTTTTGATAATTTGAAGTAGACTAAGACATCTCCATCTTAAAGGTGACAGTTTGACGAGAGGTGACAATTTGAATTACTTAACAAAAAATTGGCGCAGTAAGAAATTTTTAAAAGCACTATTTAACATATGATAAGTTACAACATAATCCACATCTGGGTTTCTGTTATACATATTAGACTTGAACGACATTTAGAAATGAGGAGTACATATCACAAACACAACACAATATTATGGAATAAAAAATACATTGTGTTTAATATTTTATTAAACAAGTGTGCTTAATCCATCATTTTGTCTTGTGTTTGTCTGTATATACCTCATGGATTTCCTTCCATTGCTCAGATTGTCTTTTTATTCAACGAAACACTAGATCTATGACCAGATTGTTTAAGTTTTACAATTTTCAAACAGCAATTTTAAGCTACAAAACCCTGAAATCGTCACGATTTGTCCTCTTAAGTGTGTCGTTTAATTTCAATAGAGGTACAAAATGACAGTAAGTAACATTATATAATATTACTATGTACACCTGTAGATCACACTTGAAGTTTGACGAAAATGTAAATTTGCTCCTTCACATCTGTATTTGTAAAATTTTAATGTAAGTTTCTTTGTATCTTGTAGCTTTTTGAAAATATATAGATTATGTCAAACATAGAAACTGTCAAAATCTCATAAATTTGATATATTGAAATATTGTAGAGGCGCAACGGGATTAGTCTGTAAGTAAAAATTATGCAATTACCGATACAGTCATCAACACAGGACGGAAACAAGATTGGTGATAAAAGCGATCCCTGCTGTATACCTTTTCATCTTCTATACTCCATTTCAGCATTACACAAGTGAACCAAATTTATCATCGAGCTTCTGTTTTCATATGGACGTTTTTAGTTATGAATATATCAAAACAGAACTATTTTATCAGTGGTATTTCTATATCAATCTACAATTGATGTATTGGAAACTATTTTAACAGTAGTATTTCTATGTCGCTCTACAATTGATGTATTGAGCACTATTTTAACAGTGGTATTTCTACATCACTCTACAATTGATGTATTGAGCACTATTTTAACAGTGGTATTTCTATATCAATCTACAATTGATGTATTGGAAACTATTTTAACAGTGGTATTTCTATATCAATCTACAATTGATGTATTGAGCACTATTTTAACAGTGGTATTTCTACATCACTCTACAATTGATGTATTGAGCACTATTTTAACAGTGGTATTTCTATATCACTCTACAATTGATGTATAGAGTACTATTTTAACAGTTGTATTTCTTTATAGCTCTACAATTGATGTATTGAGCACTGTCTTAACAGTGGTATTTCTATATAGCTCTACAATTGATGTATTGAGCACTATTTTAACAGTGGTATTTCTTTATAGCTCTACAATTGATGTATTGAGCACTATTTTAACAGTGGTATTTCTTTATAGCTCTACAATTGATGTATTGAGCACTATTTCAACAGTGGTATTTCTATATTGCTCTACAATTGATGTATTCAGCACTATTTTAACAGTTGTATTTCTATATCGCTCTACAATTGATGTATTGAGCACTATTTCAGCAGTGGTATTTCTATATTGCTCTACAATTGATGTATTGAGCACTATTTTAACAGTGGTATTTCTATATCTCTATACAATTGATGTATTGAGCACTATTTTAGCAGTGGTATTTCTATATCAATCTACAATTGATGTATTCAGCACTATTTTAACAGTGGTATTTCTATATCTCTCTACAATTGATGTATTCAGCACTATTTTAACAGTGGTATTTCTATATCTCTCTACTATTGATGTAGTGAGC